ACTATTGACTCATTCCAAGATGTTGGAACATTTTCTTGCTCCCAAACCTTTTCAAACAACACAGTCAATTCCTTAGTCAGAAAGTCGCCACCATCTTTAGAAAGAGCCGGAGGTAAGTCATCTGGGCCAGGTGATTTGTAACGTTTCAAGAGTTGGAGTTCCTTGCGGACTTCCGCCTCGTTTGGTGGATCAGTCGTCACCGGCCATGGGAGGCAGGACAAGCTGGTTGATGTTGCCGGAGCAGCAGGCCAGCTGAACTACCCTTTGAAAAATTCCGCCCATCGTCCAAGACGTCGGGAGATGTTAGTGATTGGCATCCCGTCATCCTCGTAGATTGTTTCACTCACACCAGACTTCTTGCTGCCAGTGGCTCGGATGAGTTGGAAGAGCTTCCGGCAGTTACCAGATTCTGCTGCTGCTTCCATCTCATTAGCACGCTCCGACCACCAGGCTTCCCGGTCCTTACGCAAGCTTTGCCCGATTTCATTACGTAACAGCCTTCGTTTGTGGTCAAACTCACGGTCACCCGGAGTAGACCGACGGGCTTCCATCAGTTGTAAGGAGCCAGAAGAAACCCAGTGCTTGTAAGCGGGACGTTTCGCGAAGCCGCAAGCGGCTTTACTCGCCATTTTCATGGCGTCGTGAAGATGCAACCAATGCTCATCTATACTTTTCGGTGGGATGGTAGCTAGCCTAGAGGCTAGCTCCGCTCGGTACTTACTTGCAACAGGAGTTGCAGCCAGTTTACTAATATCAATCCGTTGGTGGTGGTCAATCCTTCGGCCACTGAAAAGTAAGGTGAGATTGGCGCAGACCAGGGCATGATCAGACTCCAGATAGGTACTCCAAAAGGAGCGGCAGTCTTGTACACAACCACGCCAGCGGTAGCTGATCGCGATGTGATCAATCTGAGTCCAGGCTTGGGATGCAGAGGGAGGAAGCCAGGTGGCACACCGGCGATAACTGTGCCGGAAGTTAGTGCTGACCAGAAACAGGTTGTGGTCTGTGCTCAGTTGCAGCAAACGGTCCCCGTTATCTGTCCGGCGACCAACAAGTCCCCATCGGCCACCTAGACGACTCTCTTCTGTGCCTAGACGCCCGACCTGTGCATTCAAGTATCCGGCTAGTACTACAATATCTGTCGAACGCGCTTTCTGGAGAAGAACTGTTAACTGATGGTAAAACTCATCCTTGATTGCATCCGGGCTGCAATCTGTCGGAGCATAGGCGGAGATGACGAAAAGACACCGTTTCTCACGCCGGTTTCTTCTCACTTTGATGGAACTTTCTAATCTAACAGCACATAACCGACTGTTAATGGGGATCCAATCGATTAGTGCTGCCTCAGCCCTAGCGCTTAGTGTGACACCAACGCCAGCAAGACCAGACGAAGATGCCACAGGGTCCCCGGATAGGCGCACGTGGAACAAGCTCTTCGAGGCGACAGATGGAGAGCGGATTTGTAGTACTTCACTAGAGTCTTGAATACGGGTCTCGGATAGACAACAAACATCAACATTAAGACCTTCCAAAGACATAGCCAGTCCTATCTGTTGTCTGATATGCATTAGTGTGCGAACGTTGAAGGAAGCCAGCTTGAACGGCGTACGTGGTTTCAGAAAAACTGCTTCAGTATTCATAATCGGTGGAAGCATTCACTTTCAACCAGACAGTGACTTTAGATCGTTTAGATAGGACAGAGTTTCCACCATGGGCGAGCTGCTGCATAAGTTGAAAAGTAAGGTTACACAAATTGGGGATAAAAGGGGGTGAGTTAGCGATGTGGTGAATAATAATAATAAAGGTAATAATAATAATGTTAATTGTCTTGCTTTTAGTATGAGCAGGGATATTATCGTCAATAGAGTTCATCATTTCATTCATTTGTGTGTGGGCTGTGATACTGCCCGGGTGCCCAAACCGAAGCAGGTGGTTTTCTTAGGGGACCACACCCCGAGCCTTTGACATGACTGTGTTAATATAACACTAACATATAGGACGAAACGCGCGTCCTGGATTCCACTGCTAGCCACTATCCATCTCTGCTAACCATGCTTGTGAATTAAGGTATATCGAGGCAATACGCACAGTATGTACATATGCCAATTAGAGACTGACCAGTTGCAGTCCGAACACATCGATTGGAAGATTCAAACAAACAATACTAAGTTGAATCTAACATATTTACGTTTGTAAAGAATTATTGAGTTTAATTAAGCTAATACATACTTATTTTGGAACTAATCGTGACTTTTATTTACAGTTTCACATTCAACATCGATTGTATTCACTGATTCTTATTTTACGTTCAGCTTACAAGATAACCCAACGACAATACTGTATCTTCATAAAGATCACATTAGTAAAGTTTGGAAACATTATAGCAGTCAGTCAGTTACAACGTAGGACCAGGCACACATATTCATTGGTCCAAGTTGTCACAACTCATTAGCACAACAAGATGAACACTGGATTCATAGAAGTAGTTAATTTAGTAGTGGTAGTATTTAAAGAAATGTTGTATATAAGGATATAGTATAAGAAGGAAGAAAGTTATGAAACAATTTTAATCTTAAGGTTTAAGAGAAGAGAGAAAGTGTATACACCTACGCCATTGTGATCGATTCTGAGCCATGTCATCTAGCGTCTCCAACCATTGGTTACGATAGTCACGTGGACCCCAACCAGGTAGTCTGCATCTACCAACATGGCTCAGACTAGAGGTTAGTGACTTCAAACACTGATGCAACGTTTTGGTTTGGCCGCCCCTGACTCTCTTTCAACCATCCCCTACACTAGTCAGCATAGCGCGTCATGGTAATCGGTGTTCAGGCATACGTAACACGCGGTCTAACCATCTCAGTCGATGTTGATTCACAACCTCATCAACTGATTTACCATCATTCCCTAATACCCTATGTCTAACCTCACTATTACTTACCCGGTTATACCAGCAGGTGCGAACAATATTTCTAAGACATCTGTGGTTAAATACTATTAACTTACGAGTATCTTTGTTAGCGGGACATAGATTGGATTAAAGCATGTTTCATGCATAATGGTGTTGCTGCGTGCTGATTGGCTAATTCTAAACCGATGAGCCCGGGCAAATTATAGGAGAAAAATCTAGAAGCTTCTTATGTATATACCATAAATATATGAACGTTATTTAAACTAGTAATTGCTGTTCACTTATTATTATTATTTTGAATACAATTTCATTCCTGTTCAACGTGTTCTGATTTTGGGGTCTTGTCGAGTGTCATTGATATAAGAATACTAAGCAATAGGAATAGCTGGGTCGTTTATTAGTAGCAAAATACAATTATAACAATCTTCTAATCTTAATGGTCATATTTCGCAGCCGTAAAGTAGAACAGATTGAACTGCTGCGCAGTATACTCGTCCCTTAATTGATAGACGGATATCTCGCCATCACCATAGGTCACGTATGTTGGTAACAGCCAAACGAGCTTTTTGAATCTGTGCAAAGATTGTAGTGAACAGAACACTAGTTGGGGACAATTGAATGTATTTAAGCAAAAATTACAGACTATCTCAGTAAATTCTGATAACCAAACAATGAACAGTCAATTTGCAAATTAACAACCAATTGTTTCAATCTTCACTGTTTCTTCTCTTATTCCATTGCTCATGCATTTTCCAGACGATTGCGCTTCATTTCAGTTCTTTCGTCATCGGTCTTCTGCAAAAATACATTCTATGTCTGACCCACACCATATACTACTTATATGGATATAAGTAGACCACACCACAGATTTCGTCAAACATCAACCGATTATGGTGAATCATTCATCAGATACGATTGATTCAGAGAAAATATTACTTGTATTCTGTTGAAAGTTAAATATGTAGACATATTTTTGAAACTCATATTCTAAAATCAAAATATTTGCCTCATGAAATACAGAAACATGTAAACTTTTACATTGTTCTCTTGAGTGTACTTCATGACTGTATCTAGCATATAGACATAATTAGACAATCATTTAATAGATATTTGTCTTTGTGATTTCATTTATCTTATTTAATTTTGATAATCAAGAAGGCTCAGACTAAATTGGCGGATAGAACTTTGGAATTATTTTATGTCAACCACTGTGAATTTGGAAAATATTACTTCATTCATCAACTTTGCGTCAACTATGATGTTGTTAATTCAAGTTTAATAGTTGAATTCATAAGTTGATTTAAGCTAGATCACCATGGAAAATCTGAAATTACTAGACGACCGTTTAGTCTAAGTTTGAAACCCCTCAGCAGTGCTCATCTATAATACTGCATGCGGGACTTGAATTCAAGACCATCGGTCTCACTTATGAACGCTTAATTTCTAGACAGCTGAGTTGGTATTCGAAGGTGTTAATGTTTAACTTTGTGGAATGGTTAAAGTTAGACATTAACATCGTTGAATATCCGCTAGTTCAGTGGCCCAGAGGTTAAACGTTCCTGCACAAGACCGAAGGTCCTGAGTTTGAGTCCCACATGAGGGATCGTAGATGTGTACTGCCGAGAAGTTCTGTACTAGAACGAAACGGCCATCCAGTTATCTCAGGTTTTCACTGTTGATCTAACATTAATCCATTTATGATATGGATCTAAACTCAACAATCTCCACAACCCTATACTGATATAAAACATTTATTCTATAATAGTCATCCTTATTAACCAATTGAGTATTCTTAACTGTTATATCCCGTGGAGATTTATGAATGGTAACTTTGAGAACTATATATGGACCAATGTGACATGTATATATTCGTGTCCCCCTTATTATAAGCTTTATTTTGATCTATGAACTATTATTATACGATTTACCATTCTTGGGTTATACCCAGTTTATTGATTACTGTTCCCCACTATTCACATCCACATTTGGCTAAATCTTGTACAAATGTTATTTTCTATATTATGGTACGATGTGGTCAGTTTGTTTGGTATGTAAATCCAGTATGTTTGAAAATAGTCATTCATGTATTGCAAAGGCTGTTATTGATGTTCTGGACTTAACTGGCTGAACTAGGCAGATAGCAGGATTGAAATGTACTCAAGACTGTTCATACAACTTTTTGTGTATCATTGCTCTGATCAATAAATTCACTCCTCTGTAATTGATGAGAATCATCACGTCATATATTAAACAGGGCACTCACTCAATCAATATAACACTATAACAAGAAATTAAAGTCATTATAAATAGAGATGGATGTTGTCAAGTAGTACAATCTAGAATGTACATTTCATCAATGAGAAGATTCAAGCAAACAAAATCAAAGAAGAAGTCATTATCATTAAATCATTCTTATCATCATAAGAATCAAATAACAAAACAATAATGTTTGCAGTATACCAATGAAATTATATTTGATTATAGACAACTCTTATTACATAATATATATATATATATAATTCTCTTAAATAGAGTATCCATGTTCATGTAAACAATGAATAAATAATTAATATTTAAAAAAAAAGGAAATTTCATATCATGATCAGTAACCATGGAAATTATGAATTCGATTAAATAATCGATTGTTTATTATAAGAGTTTTTAATAGAAATGTTAATGGTGGGTGGGTGGGTAGTTGGTGAGAGGGGGAGGTGATTCTTTTTATTTATTTTTTTTTCATGAAGAGAATATAGTTTATGTTTTTTTTTTTTTATTTTAATTTTTTATCATTATGATTATTGAATAGTTTAATATTTGATTGTAAATTATAACTTCGTCTACGATTTCGACTAGATCTTAATGTGCATGCACCTTTCCAACACTACAAAAATAGAAATAAAAGATATAGATATATATTTCATATAAGAATTATTGAATTTTATAGATTAAGAAAAGTCATTTTCTAGTCATTGAGATAATAAGATCTAGAAAAAGATCCTTATATCGATGTGGTTTTGTTCTCTGAGCTAGATGGTTTGATCGTAGAGCTTTGATCGTTCTTTTGAACGACATCATCAGCACAAACTTCAGGTAGAAGATCCCTATACTCTACAACTTCACTTTGGAAATTATCATGTTATTATCTAAATGTCAGTTGATGTGTTACTTACTTACTTACTTACGCCCATTACCCCTTGTGGAGGAGGATAGGCCACACGCCAGTTTTCTCAATTCAATCCTATCCTAAGCCTTTCTTTCCAGTTAACATTCATCCTTTTCATATCTGCTTCTATTTCCCGGCGTAATGTGTTCTTCGGCATTCCTGTTTTTCACTTCCCTTCAGGAGTTCAAGTTAGCGTATGCTCCACGATACAGTTTGGTGATTTCCTCAATGTGTATCCGACCCACTTCCAACGCCTTTTCCTAATTTCCCCTTCAGCTGGAATATGGTTTTTCCTCTCCCACAGAATATTGTTGCTGATGGTATCCGGCCAATGAATGTTGAGTATTTTGCGTAAACAACTGTTTATAAATAGTTGTACCTTCTTGACGATGGATTAACTAGTTCTCCACGTTCCAGCTCCGTACAGTAAGATCGTCTTAACCTTCGTATTCAAGATTCTCACTTTGAAATTATTTGCTAGCTGTTTTAAATTCCATATATTCTTCAATTGTAGAAATGCTGCCCTTGTTTTGCCGATTCTCGATCTTATATCTGCATCCGATCCTCCTTGTTTATCAATGGTACAGGTAGTTGATGTTAGACATTAACACCGCTGGATGCCGGCTCAGTGGTCTATCAGTTAAGTGCTCTGGTGAGAAACTGGTAGGTCCTGGGTTTGGATCTCGTGAGGCGAGGTCGTGGGTGCGCACTGCTAAGGAGTCCCACAATAGGACGAAACGGCCGTCCAGTGCCTCCAGGATTTCCACGGTGGTCTAGCTTCAATTGGCTCATGATCTTAACTATTTAAAATCAGTTAATTGATTTTATCTCCGGAAACTATCCACATATATATATATCCCTTTTTCTTGAAATCAAAGTTTTCTACAACTGACTTCTTCAACCGATTACAAGTCACTTATAAGATACATAGTCAATAAACCTGTGATCATTCTATGAATGTTTTTACTTTCAAATAATTTTTTTCTGCTTAGTTTTTTTTATGCGAATTAGTTTTTCTACGGGATGGGGTCGCTAACCCCATGCCCAACCGCCTTCCTTTATCTGGGCTTGGGACCGTCAGTAGCCCCTCGAAGGAGCTACAGGTGGAGTTCTATGACTGTTATACCATCAGATGATTGAAATTCCAACTTCTAAGGAAATCCTTATGCATATCATCTGATTTTATCATAAACGAAAATGTTAATAGATTTAGAAAGTAACAAAAATTTAATTTAAAAACATATCATAACAATCATTATAAGCAAAGATGAATAGTGGCTAGCAGTGTAATCCAGGACGAGCGTCTTGTCCTATTTGGGATTCGTCAGATGGATGTACCTGCATCTCAGAGTTGATGTTCACTCTGGGACTCGAACCCAGTACCTTTTACTTCAAAGGCCATCGCGTTATCCACTAAGCTACTGAGTCCTGATAACCACTTGCTTGAAGCGAAAGGTATTGGGTTCGTGTCCCAGAGTGAACATCAACTCAGATGCAAGTACATCCAGCTGACGAATCGCGAATAGGACGAAACGCACTTCCTGGATTTGACTGCTATCCACTATCCATCTTTGCTTACAATGTTTGTGAATTAAGGCTATATAGAGGCATTATGCACATGATGCTAAAGGTTTTGAGTGCTGTTAGAGGAATGAGGGCAGTTATCAATTCCCAGTTGCACACACCGTGGAAGGGTTCTTCTAGAAGTGGTCTTTATGACCTAAGAGTTTGACCGCAGCGCCCAAGGGACAACTGCTTGAGGTCGGTCACACACGAACTTTTTGTGGGTAAAATTTTGTGTTAGCTCCGTTCTTCAAAGGACCTTACCACCGGAGACGGAAATCCGTGGGATAAGGTGAGGTGTGCATTTTTAGGGTCGACCTTTTCTAAACCACTCCTCCTTGTGCTGGTTGTCTGAAGGAAACACCTTACTGCTGTCACACCTCTGTACAGTCAGCAGTACGACTTCGCCTTCGGACCTTGGGTTTGCTGCTTTTAGTATCACCGCTCTTCAAACGATCTGCCTGGCATGGTAGGACCTTGAGTAACGATTGTTTCAGCCAGTATAGCTCGATTGGTTCATCACGATAGGCAAGCCCGACCACCACGTCAAGGTAGCAACAATGAAATGCGCAGGATGCACATATGGCCAATAAGAGACTGATCAGTTGCAGTCCTAAAAACATCATTGAGAAGATTCAAACAATACAATATTAAATGAATGGATATCATAACAATCCTTTAACTTACCGCCAATTTCCTCGTATAACGTCGTACACGTGATAGAAACACTGTATCTTTTGTAATATGTAATGTTTGTCTTGATTTAAATGAATGAGTTAACATTAAATATTTTTTACCAACTATAATTTCATCTATACATATACATTGTAATGGCCATGAATAAGTTAATATCATTTTTTCATCATATGGATGTATATCGGAATCATAAGTTTTTAATATATGAAAACGGAATAATGGTTGAAAACGATCATTTTTACCAAACCACCATAATGTACCAGATATACGTATGACAGCAGCTAGAAAAGTATAAAAAGAAATATATGAAGAAAGGGGGATATTGTGGAGATTTTTAGTAATTTTATAGAGTTGAAATCTAAAGTCAATTGAAGTTAGACCATCATGGAAAATCTGGAAGTACTCGATGGCTGTTTCGTTCTTTTTGTAGGACTCCTCAACAGTGCGCATCCCATAATAGGACGTAATGGCCGTCCAGTGCTTCCAGGTTTCCTGTGATGGTCTAGCTTCGATTGATTCATGATTTCAACGGCTAGACTATAATTTATGAACGACCTTTGAACGAACCCCAAGTGACATTGGGAAATATTAACCAATCAGGAAACAGTTAGTATGGAGGAAAAATATATTGTATAAAACCAAAGAATCAAGGTGAATATAATTATTTCACATGGTTCAAAAACTTGTCAAGGTTATATAGTGGTTCAAAGGTTCCAAAATCGTTATGTATGCGCTACGGGAACTCACCTATATGGCTCTATAATTGTCAGACTCTGGAGTGACTTTTCACTTTCTAAATGTTTCTGGCAAAATTCCTATTGAATGCTGATTCGATAAGATGTTTTTCAGCATTTTCAGAGCAATTTTCTGTAACGTTTAGGGATTCTAAGTGATGTCATATTTTGATGAAAACTTTAAATCTAATTCCTATTTCTAATCATCAACTGTAAATCATAATCCTTATTTTTCATACAGGTTTATAACTCCCATTTAGCCTTCGTCAGTAGGTGGACATTCTCTAAGCTTTTGTAACGTCACCCGATGATCGTTCATATATTATAGTTTCAACTAAATGTTTACTCTAATAATATTTTAAAAGAAAATGAATTCTTTGCTCCTCAAGGCAGTGGAGCATCGTGAGGTGATGCATTCCAATAGTAGCCGGTGATCAACGATTGATTCATACACCATTTGTTCCCTCAGGATACTGGATCCCATGTGCATCATTCGTTTGGAATGGGGGTTTTCCAACTCCTCTAGGTGAACTTTCCGTGTCCATCAACCCGGTTAAAGCACCAGACATTCGCTTTTCGTCCTCTCAGTTTCGTAAACAATACGCCCGGTACGAGAAGGCAATAAGTAAAACTTCCCTGGTAGAAGCTACATATGCGTGACCATGTGAGAGCATTTGAAGTGGGAGAGCGGAATTTTCTACTCTCGGCCGTACCAGGGCATTCAGGGGCTTATATCTTGAAGGGAGTAGAACAAAGAATTGAACAGTATAATACGAATCCATTTCAAAACTATTGTCAAGGTCACGTAATTACAACGGTAAAGGTGGATATGTGTCATCATAGTAGTGTAATGAGATTAAGGATATATAAAAAGTATTATAAATAAATTTAATATAGGAGAGAAGATTCTGGATCATCATATAGAGTAACAAGAGATCATAGGGATAAAATGATTAATTGAAGTACTTGAACATAAATTAGTAACAAAATGAGTTGAGGTCAGTCAGTTAGAAAACAAACTTATGAATTTGAAAGAAGTGATCCGGTTAATATAAAAAAGACAGAGATTTGAAAAGTTACTAGAATGATGTAATCAATTGACAATAAATTTAACATGGTAAGGAAAGATTTATAACTCTTTTTTAGATATATAAGTTTGACTCTAGTCGTTTAATAGCTATGAATTGGGTGAATTTGAAAAGAACAAAGTTCAACTGTCGATTGAAGGTGTTGAAAGATTTCAGTGTATTTACTTAATATCATGTGCCATAGAGCTGCTTTACAATAGCATTGTTGAAAGCCTTTAATCCTAATGACCTAAGACTTTTTAAGATATGTTCTTGGAATCGAACGTATGCTCTTCTTTCTTTTTTATTAATGTAACTGTTATGGAAGGTACATGTAAATTGGGATATTCAGTTGACAGTAATATGAATGGGTTACTTAACCACCTCTGTTGGACTTAGGAACCTTGCGAAATAAAAATGAATAAATGTTATTCTTCTCAATTCGTTTTTCTTGCCCTCTTCAAGAAGAGATAACGTATAAGGTCACTATACTATCTGTAAATTAATGTTTTAAGAAAATAAAAGAGATAGATAGATCTTAGTAAGTGTAAGATGTATAGAAGTATCACAATACTATCAGTACCGACAAATGTTTTCAACAGAGTTTTGTTGAATAGAACGAACATTCAGTAGACACCCAACTTGGAGACTGACGGATTAGATTTCATAAGGACTGACTATCTACCGACCAAATATCAATACTAGTGGTTATTACTGACCAGCTGATTGAATGTAACTCATAACTATACATCAAATTTCTTAACTTCGAGCAAGCATTTGACAGCGAAGATATGAGAACCATATAGAACATTCTTCAACACTATGGTTTATGTCAGAACGTGGTTGCCACCATACGAAATTTTTGTGACAGACGAAGTCATACATGCAGAGTAGCTCACAAACGCATCCCCAGTGAAGCTGCTGACTCTTGCCTTTTCTCATTCACCTGGTGGTTGACTTGATTCTGAAGACCTCCTTATCTCAAGGGTAGCAATGAATACAATGGGTAGTCTGCATACTACTAAACGATCTAATTTTTCTATCCCATACACGTCAACAAATGCAGGTGACGGCAATCAGAGCAGTATCAACTTTCACAGTAGTATGTTTCAAAATTCACAATGGAAAAATCAAGATCTCAAAAAAGGGGCTATGGTTTTATCAGTTTGATACACAATTTTCAGTCTCCGGTTTACAGATTGTTACCCTTCTTTACAACATTTTAATCATCTTACTTCATTCACATTATAATTCGTTGCTAACTTATTTTATTGCTTGTTCATATGTCCCTTCTTTAAACTTCATGTTTTTAATAATTCTCGTGGCGGGGGTGTTGTTTACGAAATTGAGAGGAATAAAAGCGAATGATCGGCGCTTTAACCGGGTTGGTGGACACGGAGCGTCCACATAGGGGAGTTCAAAAACCCTTATTCCAAAACAATGGTGCTCATGAGCTCCAGTATCCTGAGGAAACAAACGGTGTATGAATCAATCGTTGGTCACCGGCTACCATGGGACTGCATCTCCTAACGTCGATCCACTTCCTTGTGGATCATACCTTTAAGTCGAAGACTCTGGGTGTGGCCACTTTAGGAAACCACCATCTTCGGTCTGTACACTTGGGCAGAATCACAGCCTTCACATAAATCAAATGAGATTTGTGTGGCGCATATATATCTGGTGCCCCTTTGTACCAATATTTATGTGTTCAAATAAATAAATAAAATAAACAGTTTGAAAGATCAGATATTACTAACAGTTTCCAAACAAGTAGTATATAGTCCAATGTCTTTATCTCTAATGATACATAGTTCATAAATGACAGAAAATGATGATAATAGAATGAAACAGTTGGAACCAATAGTTATGAAGATAAATAGTTGAATTCAATCTTAAACTTACACACAGTAAAATTTGATTTGATCCATTTACTTCTTGTATATAATGTAGGAAACATTGAATTACATGTTTCAGGAATATCCTTTGGACAGCCAAGATTTACTTTAAACAAAAAGAAAAAAGCAAAAGCAATGTAGAATGTTGAAAATAATAAAGTCGAATACAAATCTAAAGTTGATCTAAGTTAGGCTATCATTGGAAACCTAGAAGCAGTGAACAGCCGTTTAATGCTCAGAAGTAGGCATCCACAACTCTGCAGTTGAGGATCGAACCCAGTACCTACAGTCATGCATGAGGACGCTTAACCACTAAACCTCTGAGCTGGCATCCACATATCTCTACTGAAAATTAACATAGGCTAACTAGTGGTTACCTTCAAGAGGAAATTTCTGAAGTTCTAGTGAGAAGCTGTGACCAGTGAAGGTAATTTGTATCGGTTATGAGGTTGACACTCTCCAAAGACAATAGAAGTTGATCGCGAAATATCTGAGATTGATTGAGCTAAAAGATTAACACTATTAGATGCCGACTCAGGTGTTCGTGAGCAATTCCGAAGGTGTTGGATTCAATTCACTTTGATAAGGGATCTTCGATGCTCACTGATGAGAAGTCTTATACTAGGACAAAACGACTATCTAGTGATTCTGGGTTTTCTGTAGTAGTCTAACTTAGATCGACTCATGATCTCAACAATACATAACTTAGTCAAAAAACATCACTTCAGTGTCTATAATCAGTTTATGGAGATTACACATTGAAGGAGATATATATGTAACATCATTTTATTTTGATGTATTCTAACCTTCTACGCCTTGGTAGTTCAGTTTTGGTGAATCGAATTTACAGGATCGCCATCTTATTGACCTGAAAATAATTCCAAGTGGCTATATCTTTGATACATTTTATATCTATCTTAAAACGTAAAGGTTTTAATAATCTGTGAAGTTAAATATTGGCTGGCAGTAGTATCAAGAACGTATGTTTCTTTCATTTCGGCACTTGTCAACTGGATTTGTGTTGATGTTCACAACAGCTCTCGAACTTAGTACTTCTCACTTCAGAAGTAGAACACACTATTAACTGAGCTACACAGGCCTGATAGCCACCGTGTTATGTAACGGTAAAAAATTGAATTAGTAAGTTTATACATTCTTTGTAATATGAAAGTAAATATTTAGAAATTATTCTATGTAAATTATTGTTTTTCTCAATTTTCTTGACATAAAGGATGTTTAATATATCTGTTAATGTGTAGTTTGAGTGGATGTGGAGTTGCCGGCGACCATACCACGTTGAAAGCACCGGTTCTCGCCCGATCACCTCAGTTAAGCAACATTAGGCCCGGTCAGTACTTGCATGGTTGACTGGCTGGGAATACCGGGTGTTGCCGGCTTTTAGCAACAAACCAACCAACATCCCAACTCCACCCCAACACACAGACACATTCCATTTCTCAGGCGTCAACAACCACCACGACCACTATTACTACTACTTATGCTACCTATACAACATCCATCATAATAATAGATAATAATTTCGGTTAAGATAAAAACAGGATATTAAATTGTTCGTTTGATTACAAAATTTTGAAGAGAGAAAGAGAATATCCGGCGCTTTAACCGGGACGGTGGACACAAAGTAATCACTTAAGGGGAGTTGAAAAACCATGATTCCACACCAATGGTATATATGGGCTCAAGGATTCTATGACGCAACAAATGGCATATGAACCTATTGTTGGTCACTGGCTACCATAGTACTGCTTCGCTTAACGTTATTGCATTTTCTTGTGGATTAGATCTGTAGGTCAAAGGCTTGAGGAGTGGCCCCCTAAAAAACCACCTGTTCGATTTGGACGTCTGGTTAGTATTCCAGCTGTCATAAAAACCAAATAATTTGTACGGTGTATATGTAATCGATGCCTTTCTGTGCCAATGTTTATGTTTACTTCAGTTCCCATCTTCGGCGGTTAATTCACTTGAAATCATATCAGTCTTAATCAAATTCAGAAAAAAATTTTTAATCCGCCTCATAGTATTGATTCATTCTAATAATTAAAATTGTGCTTCAAATATAGAGTACTCGAAGCTAAGATGGTGGTTGGAAGTGGTCAACAGGAAACCCTAGACCCTGGTTTCGTGCTACTTGGCACTCGTCAGCAAGGTGTACCTGTAATCTTGAGGGAACTGGTGCTCCCTGGCAGATTCGATCATTCAGCTTCACAATCAGAGACTTTACCACTGAGCTATTCTGACCGCGACCGACCTCCTGTAAGACTGAGTTGTAATCACAATTGATTGATCACTGGGTGGTGATCAATGTCATGCGTGTCAAGTCCTTCTTAGTGCTGATCGAATGCTGACGTGTGCCAAGTAGCACGAAATCTGGGTCCAAGGTTTCCTAATGACCACCTCCAACCACCATCTTATTTTAACATAGTGCACGCAGTATCGAGCCACCTAGACTAGTGGCCACATTGCAACTTGATCGATAGCATTCGATCAGCACTAAGAAGAACTTGACACACATGACATTGATCACCACCCAGTGATCAATCAATTGTGAGTACTTAATTCTAAGAGATGTTAGAAAATGTGGATCTTAAATTATGATTCTTTCAATAAGTTATAATATGTTACCTTATTTGGATTAAACTACCAATTTTGGTTAAATTGAAATATTTTCTCTAATCAAATCATGATTTCAAATTCAATAAACAACTTACTTGTTTGAATTAGGCTCAATTGACCTTGTTAATAAAACTAAACAATTTATGAATTCTTTTATTACTATTCACAAAAAAATGTATTCTGAATAGAAAAGTAGTGTAAATTCATTTAGTGTTGTTTGTTTTGAATCTTCCCATTAATGTTTAGGACTGTAATTGATCAGTTTCTTATTGGTATATGTGCATACTGTGAGGACTGCCTTGATATTACCTGAAGTCACAAGCATTATAAGCAAATACGGATAATAGCTAGCAGTGGAATCTAGTTTGACGTGCGTGTCGTCATATTTGGGACTCGTCAGCTAGATGTACCTTCATCTGATAGTTGATGTTCACTCTAGAACTCGAACCCAGTACGGTTCGCTTCAAACACCATCGAATTATCCACTCACCTACTGAGTCCTGATAGCCACTTGCTTGTGCAATGGGGTGAAATTTAAATTCACTTGGTATTGTTTGTTTGAATCTTCCCATTGATGTTTAAAACTGCAATTGATCAGTCTCTTATTGGCATATGTACATACTGTGCATATTGTCTCAATATAATTGGTACATTCAACTGATAAGTCTCAAATAGGGCGAAATGCACGTCCTGAAAGTAGTTACCTGGAGAAGTGTTGACAATATCAATGAATGTATACAGTTGAATTGAATGTTATGGTTGTATGACAGTATGAACGTACACTATTTTCAATCCTTATCACTATTTACTAAAGAAATATGAATATTTAAAATGATTTCATTGAAAACCTGGAAGTAGTGGATGGCCATTTTGTCTTAGTACAGAATTCCTCGACAGTGCTTATACACGATCCTGCACAGAAGAGGTTCAAATTCAGGACCTTCAGTCTGGCGCGCGAACGCTCCACCTTTAGACTATTAAGTCGACATCTAATGGTGTTATTGTTTAACTCTAACCAATCCACAATATTGTGCAACCATCCACTATTGTCTTTAGTGAGTAACTTCCTCACAACGAACACATTTTGACTCCACTGGTCACATTTACTCACTAGAACTCCAGCAAACACAACTTAAAACCAGTCACTATTAAGCACATTATGATTATTGTCAGAATGAGAGTTTGTAGAAACTGTTGTAATTCAATAGTTGAATCCATAAATAGATTTATACTAGACCACCCTGGAAAATCTGAAAACACTAGATGGCACACTGCTGAAGAGTCCTATACTAGGATGAAAAGGTCGTCCAGTGCTTCCAATTCTTCTGACTTAAATCGACTTATGAATTCATCCATTAAATGACTACATACTTCACATAACCCCCTTACTAATAACAGTCATAAATATTAAACTATATCTTTCATGCTTCATTTTAGATTGTAATAGGTCAGTGAAGATAAACAATAGTTACTATTAATGATAATCATCTCAATTGTACACATAAAAAAAAAGAGAACATAATACATGATGACCTTAATAGAGTACTGATAAACCTTCTCTGGTGAAATAACCATACAAGTGATTTTATTGTTTTACAAAGGTCATAAGTCTAATCAAAAAGGTCATAATGGTTAGGGAAAGAAAAGTGGTAAGTCAATACATGACCTATTTTTTTACCTTCAGTATGAATACAATTATTCATTAAGGTTTAATATCAAAGGACAGTATACTATGAGCTGAATACTTAACTTGTCTCGTTCATTTACATGCAATGCCTAGTAGCCAACTTTGTTTATCATCTTATCTATAGAATGTAGCCTTTTCAAGATGAAGAATATAGTCTTATTTGGCCATAGTTATATTCAAAGCATTACTTGTAAACGGTGAAACCATCAGATAAGTAATCCTGAAGTTAGATGTAGGATATTAAATAAATATGTTTAACAAGTTAGGAGCGCTGCCGATTTTCACCGACTAAAGTAACTGAAACTTGTTAAATGTATGGCCTTTGACTTCTCACATAGATACGAAGTGCTGATTTGGGTTTATTTATTTATTTAAACACATAAACATTATTACAAGGAGGCACCAAATAGATATGCGCCACATAAATCATTCAACTTTTGTGAAGGCTGGGATACTGCTCGGGTTCCCAGACTGAAACAGGTAGTTTACTTAGGAGGCCACACCACGAGCATTTGACCTAAAGGTCTGATCCACAAGGCAGTGGAGCATCGTAAGGAGATGCATTCCCATGGTAGCCGATGACCAACGATTGATTCATATGCCATTTGTTCCCTCAGGATACTGGAGCCCATGTGAACCATTGGTTAGGAATCAGGGTTTCCCAACTCTACTATGTGGACTTTCCCGTATCCAGTAACCCGGTTAAAGCGCAGGACATTCGCTTTTCGTCCTCTCAATTTCGTAAACAACAGTAATGCCACGAGAAGTCAATGAGTAAGACTTGG